TCTCTCTCTGTCTGTCTGGTGAGCGCACATGCCCTATAGCAAAAACCTCTCAAAAAAAAGAACATGTGAGTAAGCCAGGCTATGAAAGAAAGATATTGTATGTATCCACTCAATATATACCGACTATCCTCACTCTATGATAGAGAGCAAAAAATCGGAGGACATAAAAGCAGTGAAGGTACTTAATGAGAATAGGACAGTGTGGAATGGGGTAAGTGAAGAGAAGAGGATAGAGAAAGATAGCAAGTGAACAATAGAGAGGCAAGACGTTAGTGAGAAACAGATAGGGCTTATTAACTGTTGATGATGACGTGTATAGTATTCTCAATTGGATTGGTCTGAGAAGTACTTCACGATGGGCAAAGTATTTTTACAAGCAAAATGAGAAATAGCAATTGACTGTTTTAAAAAATAATTAGAATAATAAAAATAATGATTGGGGAAAACATAGAAAAGATATTGAATGTTGAAGTGGGGAGATTAATGTCTCTGTACTGACGGACAAGCATGGCATTCCCTTTTGAAAAAACAATGTAATACACTGTAAAGTTATATGTAATCCAATGTAATATAAAGAAGATTATGATGATAATTAAAAAAATTAAAAAATAAAAAAAGTTTAAAAAAGTTAATGAAAAAAAATAGAATTAAAAGTACAGTTTAGGGCCAGCAGTGGAGGCCAAACCTACTTGGAATCCGTGCATAGCTTTTTTCGTGATGGACATTTTCTGTGAACTTTCTGAAGAGTCTTTGTCTCAGCATCAGGCTAGTGGCACTCCATGGATGAATGTACAAATGACACGAATGAGTGGATCCAGGAACTTTCCGGGTCCTGACCGTGTCGCCCATCTGCCAGGTTTGACCCTCCTTTCTGAGCGGGCCGGTCAGCGAGGCACCATGGCGATCGAGGAGACCGGCCCTTGCCCTCTGACCCTTCTCACCCCGCACCACCCTGCTCTGTCAAGACAGCTTCCCCAGAACTCATTTTGGTGCTGGTGTTGATCACTGGCCATCCACCTGGATGCTCAAGAGACAAGTTAGCTGTGTGTGATTCAGGGTGTAGCCACTTCCCTGGGGTTGCTCCGAACCTGAGACCCCATCCGGAGGTGGTCTCGTATGCTAAGGTCCTGGTGATGTGGGTCTTGTCTAGACCTGCTCTCCTGACCCACTTATCTGCTCTAACAGGGTTGGCCGACCTTGGGCTCCACCTCCCCAGACCTGGACCCGGGTGGGCTGGCTCAGATGTGCATGTTTTAGAAATGCACCTATTGGTCTGAGGAGCGCTACCCCAAGACGGTAGCCCCTGCATTTCCCAGGCAAACAGGGAGAACAAAAGCTCTGTCCTAGACTCTAACGTGCACCGAAGGCCATGGGGTATCCATAGGCCACGTGGGTGACACAGCCGCTCAGACTCGGCTCAGAGGAGTCCACAGCCATGAGAGCGTATGTGTAAATTCAGGAGCCGCTGCAGCTCCTCGGGTCCCTCTCACTCTGTTCCCATTACCTGGACAAACCCCACCCCATGGCAGGTGGCAGGAGGTAACGAAGGAAGAGTGGTGGTTACTTCTCACTAGAAGCAGCTGGAGGAGTGTCCAGCTCTGACCCACTTAGTCCTTCCTTGGGAAGTAAGGAGTGGAGAGGACGGATGTAGAATCAGGACTTGGGGCCTGACCCACACGGGAGGGTTTCAGGTTCATGTCCCGAGACCTCCCTGCACACACCATGCTCACCTGTGCCATGAGCTAAGGCTTCGACCATGGGTGGATTAGGGGTGTGGGCTCCTAGTTGGGGTTGCTGTCTCTCTACCCCTCTCTATGTGTCTCTCAGGAAAGAAGGAAAGAGAAATAAATAAATAAAGACTTTAAGATGAAGATTAATTGACTAATGAAAAATAGTAAAATAAATCAGGCATCCCCTGGGGCCCGAGGAGGGGAGCAGAGCATAAGACTTTTTCTCAACAAAGCCTTGAGAAGAGAGGAAGCATGGCCCCTCCCTCAGCAACACCCCCACACTGCATGGTCCCCCAGCTCCAGAGATAACCCAGGCAGCACTGGCCCCTGGGAGGGGTACCCATGGTGCTCTGCTCCCCTCCTCATCCCCCTTCCAGTGGACACTAGAACTGGAGACAAAGAGACAGTGAAGACCCCGACCTCACCGCTGCTCCTCGCTCAGGTCCCCTGAACCATCTCTGCAGCCTGACCTTGAAGGGGCTACACCAGGTCATAGAGATCCCTCAGCCACCCCTGCCCCGGCAGGGCTTCAAGGGAAGGCACTCAGCCTGTTCTCGTGGTGCTGTTTTGTTCTTAGGGCTGGCTGAACCAAAGGGCTTTCGTTCCCTGCACCCTGAGCTACGGGTTTGAATAATGCATGTTTCCCTGCTAATGCCTTCTGGTTGGTAATGGGCCTGTGTTAGTGTTCATTGGAGATTTTCCTGCCGGATACACACAGAGTAACGCACATTTATAAAAAGGGTTTGAACGCTTGTTGGAGGCTCTGCTTCTGTGGTGGTAACTGAATTTTGTCAGGCATTCAGCTTAGACGGTGACATGCCAGGGACCTACCCTTGGAGACTTCGTGATGTAGGCAGTCGGGACAGGAAGAGGACTCCGCTTGCACTCGGTCCCTTTGGTTTGGGGTTATTATGCTACCCCGAGTCTAAAGTGATTCGTGAGTTTTCAGGACCTGAGGTCAGGAAGGGACAGGTTCTGGGAAGGCTGACGCTGCCCCAGGATGGCTTCGGGGAAGGTTGAAGGAGAGAAGCTGAGTCTCGTTGCTTCCTGGCGGTGTGATCTCCAGCACTTTGACCCTACTTTGCATTATCTGCCGAGGTGGTGTAAAAGCTCCCAGTTCACCAGATGCACTGACCAGTGGAGGCCCGCCACGTACCAGAGATGGTCTCGGCATTGCGGACGCAGCAGGGAACGCCCTCGTGGAGCTTTTGTTGCCATGTGGGGACGTAAAGCACCTAGTTAATGACGTGGGGTGCTGGACAGCTAGGGAGATGGAGCAGGGAGGGCTGGGGAGCTGCTGTGGGCACCATTTCCACTCAGTGGCCAGGGAGGGCTCAGTGGACAGGGAGGTGCTGTCTGCACAAATGCCTCAAGGGAAAGGGGGTTTCTGGGGGACGGCAGTCCGGAGACTGGGCAGGCGGAAGCACGCTGGCGTATTGCCGGAACGGCAGGCAGGCCCACTGGGCTGGAGAGGAGTGGCTAAGGTCAGAGAGGTCAGCAAGGTCCCAGGGAGGGCAGACTGAGCCTTGCAGGCCTTTGGAAGCCTTCGACTCGACTCTAGGGCGGGTGGGTCGCCACATGCAGGTTTGAGCAGAGGGGTAATAGGATCCGATCTAGGTTTGAGCAGGATTGCTCTGACTCTTGTGCTGAGGACAGAGTATGGGTTGAGGGTGGGAGATGGGAGGCCATGGCCATGGTGGGAGGGCTTGGAAACGTGGGCCGGGATGACACACGTGGACGTCGTGAGGAGGGGTGGCTCAGGATGTATTGGGAAGGACTCCTTGGCGGCGTGTGTGGGTGTGAGAGAGGAGTCAAGGATGCTGATTTAAGGGTTGAACTTGTCAAGTGCCCAGGGCCTGGCATGGAGGAAGCGTCAGGCACAGTCCCCACCCCTGCTGGGTGGCAGGGCTAAGCCATGTTCCAGGGCCAGCTGGAAGATGGCACAAGGGCTCAGCGACTGGACAGATGCATCTCCTCGGGCAGGACGCAGCCCCAGAGGCCAGGAGAATGCTCAGGGTCCAGGCTGTCAGACCGAAGCAGGCGGACGGTAGAGTGGAGTGGCCTCGGGAGTGGTAGTTCCGGCTCTGGCACTCAGGGTTTGGGACAGTCCTGAGGAGGTGTGGGCTGGACCTGGACACAGGGCAAAGCCGGACATAATCCATCAGGCCCCACCTGAACCAGGCCCCACGCCCGTGTCCTCCCACGCTCACCTCCGCTTCCTACAGTAGGTCTGCTGCCCTCGGCTCAGCTCGGAGAACAGCTGACTCTGCTGTCTCTCATCCTCTTGGGACCAGCATGTCTCCTTGCAGGGATGGCAGAGCTGCGAGGGGCACAATTCCTCTGGCAGGTGCTTCCGCAGCCTTTGAACAGGTCAAGGCCTCCGTGTTTCCAAGGGTCAAAGCAAGCCACATGGCCAAGGCCTCAGGCGAAGGCTGGGGCTGAGCGCCACCTCTGCAGTGGAGGAACCGTGAAGTCAGTGCAGAGGGTATCGCCGCAGGGACAGTGGCGGTTTAGGGTTAGGCTCCAGTCCACCAGGCCTAGTCGAACCCGCAGAGGAGCAAAAGCGCAGGGACCATGAGGCTTCCTGTGTGGACGCTCAGGGAAGGTTGGCCGAGGAGCAGGCCGAAGTCAGGCGTTCTGGTGACAAGCTCTCAGCCACCATGGGAGGGAATCCCAGAGCCCCCCACAGCCCACGGGGTGGGAGACAGCCTCTTCTGCCTCTGCCAGCGGCTGCCCTGACAGCAGCACTTCCCTGTCCGAGACCCCTCCTGCACTTACGTGTTCCCCCGACCGTGTCCCTGCCGGGAGGGCCTCCTGGCTTTGGTGCAGCCTGGCAAGGCCCAAGCCACAAAGGGGCTCATCCTAGAGGGACCCCACCCCTGGTCTCAGACACCGACTCAAACCGTCTCTCCCCTTACTTCTCTAGTCAAGAAGCAGATCGAGCTGAAGTCTCGTGGTGTGAAGCTGATGCCCAGCAAGGACAGCAGCCAGAAGACGTCTGTGTGTAAGTGTCACTCGCCTGCCCACCTGCCGGGCTCTCGCCGTCGGATGTGACTGTGGGGAGGCCGGACGATGCCAGACGGCTTCCCCTCGCCCTGTTCCCCGTCCTGGGGTCCGCGCGGGCAGCTGACCAGCCAGCAGCCCCGGGGCCTCCTGCACCTTCTGTTCCTCCCATTCCCACCTTTCCCTCCCTCCCTCACTTCCCATTTGAACTGCAGTCCGGGGCGTCATTACTGCCACATCGCTCATTGTTTTTCCTTTTGAATCACTTCCACCCGCTAAGACAGTCCTCTCTGGCTGCTCCTCTAGGAGTCCGTAACCTCTGGTGGGGTCTGGGGGCTGCAGGGCCCCACTGCTAGCTCCCGGGGCCAGACTGGGAAGGGGGAGGAGGGCCGTGCCTAGTGGTGTTCTCCAGGGGCTCTGGGCCTGGCGGGCAGAGAGGACTAGAGTGGGGATCCTGCTGGCCCGGGGCTGGGGGGCAGCTGGGGCCCTCTGTGTGGGCCCAGGAAGATCCCCTCGGTGAGGACAAGTTCCTTCTGCCAGAGTCTGAGAACTGCAAGGGTCCAGTGTGGAGGGAGGGTCTGGAATGTTGGCCCAGAAACACCTGACTGGAGCCCCGGGCTGCAGGGCTTTGAGAGCACTGGGAGGGGCTAGGGACCGTTCTGCCCTCCCAAGAAGGCTGGACGGGAAAGCAGAGGTTTGCTCACCCTTCCCTGTTCCCCTCCCCCCATTCACCTCCCTCACTTCCTTAAGATTGGAGCACTGCTGATTGGGGAGGGGGACAGGCAGAGGCGGCCCTGAGCCCATGTGGCCCTGAGGAGGCTAGGGA